ATTTTGTATTGATACAGAATGAAAACAAATCTTAGTCACTGGATGGGGTAGGTACAAAGAGAGCTTTATTCAATCATTTTGGGAAAGCTATCTGTTTTGTGACATCTGTAGGGAAGACTCAATTTTAAAATTATTTTAAACTTTTTTTTGGGTGGGGGGAGACAGGGTCACACTATATGTAGACGAAGCTGGCCTTGAACTTCCTTGGTAGCTACAGGCTGGACTTGAACTCATGATCCTTCAGCCTCAGCCTCCTGAGTGCTGGAATTATAGGTGCTCACCACTACCTCTGGCTTAGGAAGGCTTAATTTTTAGCTACCTGTAGGTTGACAGATTAGTAAGTTTTGACTGCTTATGAAATTTTGGGTAAAGTTTATTCTCTAACACAAGGCTAGATTAGGTTTCTAACCATTTAGCTGCCACTGCCATTGCTTTTAGAAAGCTTGCATGTGCTGTGACCTCTGGTTCCAGTGGCAGCCGGGCCAGCAGTGGTCTTTATCGCTATAATAGAGCCCTTGGGAATCAGATCTCCTGGGGAGCAGTGTGTGTCCAAAGGAGTAGGCTCCTGAGAAGACGGGAGTAAAAGCAGGCAGTCTTCATCCCTGGTGAGGTAACTTCACAGTGGTGACAGGCGTCCTGAGGTACAGGATTTCTTTGTTTAGGACCTCTTGCTTTTAAGTATAAGAGATAAGGAGGTCTTCTGGTCAGCGTCCCTGTAGTTGTTGAGCTGTGAAGACACAAGCATCAGATTCTTTCCTTTCAGCATTTGATCTTTTTCTGGTCTTCTCAGTCTTAGTTTTTATTTTATTTTATTTTTTGTGTGTCACTGGGGTTTAGATCCAAGGCCTTTGTGCTGAGCTACACTGCCAGCAATTTTTATTTTATTTTTTAAAATTTTGAGACAAGGTCTTGATAAGTTACCCAGGCTGGGTTTGAATATGTGATTCATTTTAACTTTTTTTAAAAAATTAGGTCACTGCCCTCTGGCCCCAGAGCCCACTGGTAAATGAAGACCATCAGGGCTGTTTCAGTTCCAGTAAGAAACACAGTGCTCCCTGCTGTGGTTGAGACCTGCATGTTTATCCAGTGAGATTTCCAATCTAGCCCAGTAAGGAGAGACTGAGTCATCTTTTCTGTTTACATGGCAGGATAATAGACCATGGAGTCTTTTGTGGGAAGACAATGGGTGTATCTTTTAAGAGGTTTTCAGCTGCTTTTCTGGCATCTTTTGGGCCCTTCCTTGAGGCTGTCCTCACCCATCTTCCATCCTGTTCAGCCAGTTAATCCATTTCTGTGATTGCAAGGTCCTGGAAGTCCAGGGCCATAGGTTGCTGTGAGGATTCTGAGTTTCTTAGTCAGCTTTTGCGGGTTTTCTCTGGGATTTGGAAAATCTTTGCTAAGCGTCTGAGTTCAGTTTTTGACCAAGGAGTAAAAGTCTTCACAGGAACCAGCTGTTCTGAGGGCCTAACTTACTAAGGCATTGGCCTAATTTACCTTTTTTTTTTTTTACCGTTGGTGCACAAGGGTATTTGAGCAAAAAGATTAGCAGGTTCAGGGCAAGAAGCTCAGTGGTTGGGTGTATGCTTAGCATACGTGAGTTCTTAGATGTAAATACCAACCCCAAACAAAACAACAAAATCCCTCTGTCTCCTAGGTATTGGGCATGCCTTCTTTTCCAATATATCCCACAAATGAAGTTTGATGTACATTTTCCCACTCTGATGTCTGTATCTCTTTCTCTAGAAAGGCCTGGATACAGGCTCCATAATTTCTAAACATAAAGTTAGCTGGAGCTCCAGATGGAGGAGTCCCAGATTCCTTAAATGCAGATGAACCCATAATACCTCATCTTTCTAAAATTTACCTCCTGAGGTCTCCTCCAGCTGGGGCTGCTCAGTTCCTGTTGAGCACCCAATTTGACCTGTGGTTCCAGCTGGAACTGGAGCTACACGAGTGAATTCAGAGGGCTCTGGAAGCAAAACCTTGGGCCTCAGAGGCGGGCTGCAAATGGTGTTCACCAGTGTCCTTTTGCTTGGTTCCTTGATGTTCCTGGGGGACCCCGGTTGTCTCTTTGGAATCCCACCACTGCCATCAAAATGCAAATGGAAAAATGTGGGGCACAGTCAAGTTTTAATGCGTTTGAGTCAGAAGCCATTCGTGGATTGGGAACAGCAGACCGAAAGAGCTTTAGTGTTTCAGATTCATAGTGCCAGAGCTGTGTACTTACAGGGAAAATGTGGAATGCAAAGAAATTATTTCATTGGTTGCAGTTACAAAATCACCTGTTTTGGTTGTCCTTGTTAGGTCACATGATCATATATTGGTCAGCTGTTTCCGATTGGCTGAATGTCATGTGTGTTTCTGTGTGATATAAGCAGAAATGATCACACGGCTCAAGTCTTGCTTGTGTTTTCAATTTAAGCAACATTCAAGCTATATTTAACCTCATTGAGACATTTAAGACCTAATTCCTTTTGTTTGCTCAGGGATTTTTCCAGGCCTTCTCTCCATTTTAAAGTGGCTTTAATATGTCCTCATGGGAAAACACCATTTCGTCTCTTATTCTCTTTCCGATTATAGGGAATAGAGAAGTACTGGGGTTTTTTAGGTGATGCGAATTTTTTGATTGGTTGTGGTACTGGAAATTGAGCTCAGGACCTTCACACTGAGCTATCTGCCCAGCCCTTTAAACATTTTTTGAAAATTTTGAGCCAGGGTCTTGCTGAGTCACTAAGTTGCCCAGGCAGGACTCAAACTTGCAATCCTCCTGCCTCAGCCTCCAGAGTGTTGTGATTACAAGTTGGTGTGCCACCAAGCCTGGTGTGAATTCATTGTAAAAATACATGGTGATAAAGAAAAATTATTCACGACCCTCGTTAAAGATGGTAAGGTATCTTGGAGGTGGCCTATATGTCCATCAATAGATTCATGGACAAAGTACATCTTTTAAAAAAAAATTTTTTTTTTTGGTACTGGGGATCGAACTCAGGACCTTGTGCTTGGGAGGAGGCAGGCACAGCACCACTGAGCTGTATCCCTGGCCCTTAACATCTTCTATTTTTAGTTGATAAATAATGTTGCAGTTTCCAAGGTGGCCATTCATATTTGCATATAGCATTTCCCCCCTTTCCATTTTAATCTTTTCACTGGCATGAGGAGTTTTCTCCATCTCTCTAGATATCATAATTTGAAAGAGGTTATGTTATTTCCAAAGTTATAAGCCAGAAGTTAAAAGCCAAAAGTTTCTCCTTGAGTTTATCAGAGTATCTTCATGAAAGAAGAAAGCAGGGAACATCCCATCTCTGTTAGAAGTAGTTGCCCCCAGGTGAAGGGCATCTGAGGACCGATTCCCCACAGCCTTAAGATTTTTTAAGATAGCAATAATTTCGATAAGAATGACCACTAGCATCTTTCTTGATTCCGGAGGACAGGAATAACCATGGATACAGAGTTTAAAGCATTCCACGTGTGAATGTTAGAAAATTATTACAAACTGCATCCAGGTGAAACACTTCACCCTGCTCCTCTCAGGAACCATTCCTTTGAGACAGTGAGAGGGATGTTTCCTCCCTTCGCCACTTCTGGTTAGATCCAGTTCTAGTCAGCTTCTAGATGTGAGTGTGCCAGAGAGCGGTCTGCATTTAAAATAGCAAACCCAGAAAAAGCAGAGAAAAGGGAATGCACAAAAGCCCTGTGAAAGCGGAAGTACCCTGAGAGAAGAGGAAAAAGAGAGGGGCCAGCAGGAGAAGCAGAAATTCATAAAAAGCAGAGAGAAGCAAAATACTGAATCATGAGCACAGCAGCCTGTTCGGATACTGGAAGAGTTGTTTTGCCCTGAACAGGGTTCCCATTATCTGGGGGATGTGACTGAGCACATCATCCTGAGATGCTGTCCTAGGCTCTGACTTGCCGTGACAGAGACTCTCTCCTTTCACAAAAATGAGAATCAAGCTTCTTCTCCACGTTCTCTGCCTGATTACACCTGACGCGGGGATCCATGTTGTTGCAGAAGCCATTCTGAGTAACACTGTTGTTTCGTCCGCTTAGTGAAGAGACCTAGCCTTGGCCTGTGACCACCTTCGATGTCACCGTGGTTTGCCTTCAGCAATAGTGCCCTTAAGGCAGTTTAGTCACAAGTCCCACTTCCTTCATGTTTGCAGTTCCCTAGGCACTGACCTCTAGACGCAAGCCAGAACAGGTGGTCAAAATATACAGCGAATATCGAATACAAATTTTATGGTAAAAGATACATCGGCATCCGTCCCCACCACATATTCCCTCTCCCTTGGAAGACACTTATCCCACTGTCCTTGCCACTTTCTGAAGCAGCTCTGGAAGACCTCTTTCGTGAGTGTCTTTGTGAGGTGTGATCAAAACTACAGTGATGTTGCTGCTGAGTGCCAGGCTCTTAAAAACATTAGGGTGCAGGCTGGGGATTTAGCTCAGTGGTTCCACTGCCTGTCTCGCAAGCACAGGACCTGAGTTCAATCCCCGGTACCCCCAAAAAAGAAAACATTAGGGTACATCCTCACCCACCTTATTCACTGGGTGTGGCCCCATGCAACTTCGGGCTCTTCCCTAAAGTCAAAATGCCCATGGGAGGTCCATGTTTTTAATTAATTCTGGACATTGAGGCAGCCACCACAGGGCAACTAAAGACACAAAAGAGGAGTCCATCCTGTTAAAGTCCTCTAAGTCAGGTATCCTGCATGTGTGTGAACAAGTTGACAGTCAGTATTAGTGTGGTAGCATGATCTTAGAATCGCTCTGATTGTGGTGATATCTATCTTCCTCCCTCGCTTTCTTCCCCCCTCCTCCCTCCCTCCCCTTCTGTCTGTCCGTCTGTCTGTCCATCTCGAGACAGGGTGTTGCCATGTAGTCCAGGCTGGCCTTGAACTCGCAAGGATCCTCACCATACCTGGCGTTGTTTTTCTTTCTGATTTATAATTTGCTATATAAAACTCTTGCTGACCTGTCTCTGTTTTTGGACATGTGGTTAGATTACAGGAGAAATTAAGACCCTGCAAAATGCAATAATACAACAAGATAAGCGACTGGCCAAAGCAATGGTGGGCGATGGTTCCTTTCATATCACTCTGCTAGTGATGCAGTTATTAAATGAAGATGAAGTGAACATGTGAGTAATACAATGTCCTGGAATATTATTTTCATATTATTACTTCAGTATGCATAAACATAGTAGAACTCAAAGTCATTGAAATTTGAAAGAAATATTCTTTATCCCAGTTAATAATATATAGAATTATTGAGACATTTTTCTTCTAGACTTTTTCACTGTGTTACTGTCAAATGGTAGCGCTTGGTTACACAGCTGTTTTGCCCTCATTAATTATATGACCATTCTGGAGTTTGATTCTCCAGTCTAGGTTGGGATTCTGGGAAAAACTTCTGGGACTATTGTTCAGCCACCTTTCATTAGTTGCTTGGTTTGGGAAACTCACTGACTATCTTAGTACACAGAGAAAATAATACTACCAACCCAGGTACGAGCTCTTAGTACAGGGCCTGGCACATGGTAGGCACTTGATAATGTAGCCATCAGAGCTGCTGTTTCCCTAGGGGAGTGGGCAGTTTCAATTTCACCTCAGTCATTCTTAGAGTCCCATTCCAAGGTCATGCTAAAGGTGGAATAGCAGTCTTCCCTCTCTGCTTTCCAGCCTGGGGTGGCAAACTTGGCTGTTTCCCCAGCTCTTTGGGAGACTGCCAGTGCCCCTTACTCTGCGACTTCTGTGTAGCTCGTTGATGAAACCCAGGCTAGGGCCAGAATGATTGTAGATGACTACTGTTTTACACCTTGACATACCTGTTCCCCTTAGGAATGAAGAACAAGGCTTGGATTAGGGGAGGGTGAAGAAAAGGTAAAATAGAAGAGAGAAAACAAAATAAACGAATAACTCAGACTACCTTGCTACATGTGATCATTATCTGTGTCTTTAGAATTCGGTCTTCTGTTCTGTCCCAAGCTGTCTTCCTAACAGCAGTCTTGGGCACCCTTCCAGGGCAGAGAGGCGCAGAGACTTTAATTTATTCAGATAGATAGCACCTGTGGATGGACGTACGGTGGCTGTGGCCTTGCCCATCAGAAGGAAACACAGATGCTCCTGTGAGGAGAGAAGCCAAAGAAGTGTGACCCAGGGAACGAATAGCGAGCAGGCAGGAGGAGCGCCAGAGTGTGCGAGAACAGTGTGTTTGCAGTGTTCTCTAGGGAAGTGGCCAGTGCTGGCCGTCTGGCTGTCCCCAGGCGTGTCTGTGTGTGTGGAGAACTGTTTAAGGACTCGGTCCAGTGTTGCAGTCTCAAGTCCAAGGGCAGCCTTGAAGTAGCACTCCTTTCTCAGAGGACCTCAGTCTTCTCTCTTAAGACCTTCAGCAATTGGAATAGATCCGCCACGTGCTGGAGGGGCGGAGGTGTCAGCTTAGAAGTGGTGATGTTGCCTCAGTGTGGGCGCCTAAGTAGAGTCAGGTTGATTGTTTTCAGGAAAGACATTGTTTATATGGAGGATTTTTAAAAGTCTCCAATCTTTGATCCTATCCCATATAATATAGAAGCTACCTATATTGTCCGTCACTTGTCCTTTAGTTATTTTTACTTTTTAAAGCATGGTTTCATGCATTAGTGTTTAATAAAGTATTGGTTAGTGGATTGGATATGGAATATGCAGGGACTATTTTTTTTAAGTCAAATCCATTCAGGTAAATATTGCCCAAGGTCATTTATGTCCTCACAGTTTAGATGAAAGAAATAGAAACACATACCAGGTGTGATGTGCGTGCCTGCAATACCAGCACGCAGGAGACTAGGGCAGGAGGTCTGCTGCACGTTCAACATCTGCTTGAACTAGATAATGAGTTCAAGGCCAGCCTAAACTACATAGCAAGTCCCTGTATCAAACCCTCCCCCCAATCAAAACAAGCATAAAGTAGAGGGCCGGGATGTAGCTCAGTGGTGCTACTGCCTGTCTCGAAACACAAGGTCCCGAGTTCGATCCCTGGTACCAAAAAAAGAAATGCAAGAGGTCAAATCCAGCAGGTGATTTGATAATATACCTGTCCTATCTTAATTTGAAATACAAGCTTTGGTTCTGGACTCCAGGTTCAAAATTCTGTTTTGTATATAAATTTGCTTAAAATAAATTTGTACTATTATAAAGAAGTCTTTCTCCAGACCAGTCTTGGAATTCAATTCTGTTCTCTTCTGTTCATTTATTTTTTTTGAGACAGGGTCTTGCTATGTAGTTCAGGCTGGCCTTGAACTCATGGTGATCCTTCTGCCTCAGCCTCCTGAGTGCTAGGATTACAGATGTGCACTACCACACCCAGCTTGTATTTCTTTAAAGAAAAATAATTTATGGAATTCTCTCTCTGAAAAGTCTTGGCCTTTTTCATGCCTGCTTGGACATAAAGTTTCCTTTGACATGAACATCTTGAATTCCCCAGTTTATGACAGATGAGCCCCAAGCGGTTGACCTGCTGTCTCATGCTTTAACTCACAGAACACAGTGGGGGACAGTATTGAGTTAGAAGTGTGTATGCTCTGTCCTTTTAAAACATTTTTTATTGGTTTTTTGAGACAGGGTCTCACTATGTAGTTGAGACTGACCTGGTACTCACTATGTAGCCCAGGCTGGTCTCAAACTCACAGCGATCCTCCTGCCTCAGCCTCCTGAGTGCTGGGATTACAGGCATGAGCCACCACACCGGGCTTGCTCTGTCCTTTTAAATGACCCTAAATACAATGAGGTGAGGTCACATTTAGGAAGTGGGTGTGCAGGGATAATGAGAAATGTTACATGTACAAGGCTGGTCTAAAACACTGTGTTGTCCTTATGTCATAGCAGAGAAATGAAGCTGAGGAAGAGAGTCAGGAAATCAGTTAAATACTTTATAGGAAGACTAATTTAGAAATACGAAAGACCTAGGAAAATACCTCATCTTTCCCCCACACAAAGCATTGATCAAGATAATTTAAATTAATGGTGGCTGTGCTTGCTTCAGCAGCACCTGCATTAAGTCAATGATGGTTTATTAGAAGGGTGTTTGAAAGCTCTTTCTGTACTGCGGGTGCATGCTTATTTCTTTTGTAAGTAACTGCTGCCCTCTAGTGAGAGTTTAATTTATTTTCCATAATAAAGTCCCTATATCAAAGTGCAAGGTGGAAATGATTGATCCCACTTTTCAAAATATTCAGAATCTTTTAGTGTTTAATTGAATAATACAGTAAACATTTTTTTTACAAAGAACCATAAAGATTTGAAAACACAGAGTAACCCTAAATAAACAGGCTAAATAACTATCACAAACATACTTTCAGTTGGGAAATTTAATTAAGCTTACATTTTATTTGAATTCAAGTAGAATGTCTTATAAAGAAAACCATATTTTAAGAGATAAAGTGTATTAAGTTTTCACAGAGTGCCTTCAAATAGTAAGTACTGTGTATTAGTAGTTATATTCAAACATCCAGAACATTCCACATAAACAATATAAACTTTATAGGTGCTGTGTTTTTTTGGGGATATATATATAAGTAACTTTTTGAGTTGTGTATGCCATATTTACTGTGTAAAAATTTCTTCACGAACTGTAAAATAGTATTTACTTTTATATCTTTAATTATAATTACATATACTCTTTAATTATAATTACATCAAGATTTAATTTACTCCTGCAGTTTCGATTTAAAAATCAATGTTAGCCCTAATCATATGGGTTCGCTCGAGAAGGTATTTTTACCTTCAGAAGGGATTAGTTTGTTACTTGGTTTTTCGTGTGTTGTTGCTTAATGTGTTGCTCAAAGTGCGATCCCCTCCTGCCAGAGGTGTGGATGCGCTTTTGGAATTGAAGCCGTCCGTAGAAGACGTCCTTCGGGGCAGGCGTCTGACGTTGCCCTTCCAAGGGATTGACACTTTCAGAAGTCAGGTTGGCTTCGTGAAGCTGGTAGACGGAGACCACATCCCCCCGCTTTTGGAGATTGCAGGTAAGACGGACAGCAGTGCCCTCACAGACAACTTATTGGATGAAGTAGCAATGTGTGAGTTTTTGTCATAGAGGTTCAACGTCTTTTAACCTTTGGAGCCAGTGCCTGTAAAGTCATTTTATGAGCGCCTTGCTTTGGTATTATTTGCTTGTGTGAATAAGGGTTATACCAAGCGCCTGAAAAGTTGTCGTGACTCTTACGCCCAAGGAACGCGCCAATTCTGAGGGTTTCTGGAAGGTGCTGGACGGACTCAAGTCTGGTCCTGAGTCTGAAGGGTCCCAGGGCTCACCATGAAACTCCGTGTGTAGCGGACACTTAGTAAGTATTGAATGAATGAGTCTCCAGCCACCGACCTGGAGGCGTGGGTGTTGTTATCTGTCGCAGGGAGAAGGTAGATGAATCAGCTGCATTTCCATGTGTCCTGCTCCCTCCTCCCTTTCTAGCTGTTACTCTGAGCAGAAAGCCAGGTTGTGATGGTGTAAGGCTTCACACGTGGAGACCACTTGTTGGGACTGAAGTTGAAAGTGTCAAGGAATTACATGTAGGAAAACACACAACCTGCCTGAGCGACTTGGGGTTTATCGGTTGGCTGTCATTTTACATGGCCTCATCTCAGGTTCGGTCATCCTTGGCTTTTCATGCACTCTCGTCATTGGTCCACGCATGGCCCACTTTTAGCTTTTTTCCATCTTCTTTTCCTTTTACCACGTTTTCAATCCCCTCTCCCTCTGTCTTTGTCTATACACTTAAAAATAAAGTAATAACCTGGGAACCTATCAAAGAAAACAAGGACTTGGGTAGTATAGTGGTACTCATGGTTAATGGGTCCTGGTAGGTGTGACGAGTACCAAAAAGAGGACCAAACAAATTGTTTTGGCTGGGAAGTTCCACCGAGTGTGTTGAATGCCATGCAAGTGATGAGTGAATGTTTGGATCAAAATACTCCGAGTTCCAAATTCTACAAGTTGCAGAGAGTCAAGGACCAACGTATGACTGTAATACCAACTATGTTGTCCTCTTCACAGTTTCTTGGCCTTTGACTGCTTAAATGAACCAACATTGTGAAGGTGGAGTCTGTTATTTCCTTCTGTTCTCCCAAAGTACATATACATTTATTTTAGTAGCCTTAACTTCGCATAAAGAATGTTATGTTGTCTGTGACCACTTAGTATTATATTGCCTCTGAGCAGTTTAGTAATTGCTTCTTGAAAAGTGCATCTGGATTGAAGGCAGGGTGTAGTGAGGATTGGGTTTCATTGTTGGTAAGTTTGTCTTTTAGGGTATTTGTGATGAATCTTTTGTGAACATCAGAGTTTTTATAGGGCTTGATCATCATTCAGAGTAGTTATTGAGCTAGAATGACATTTATGTGCTATCAGTTGCATTGTCCAGTATATGGTTTAAGTTTCTTGTTTTTTTTTTTGTTTTGTTTTGTTTTTGGTACCAGGGATCGAACTCGGGCTGTTGGATTTGCAAGGCAGGCAGCGGAACCATTGAGCTAAATCCCGGACTGGTTTAAATTTCTTAGTTACTGTTCATTTGAGTTTATCAAACATGGAGCTGTTTAGTTAGATTTCTGTTAAGTATATTTTACATAAGAACATTTCATTTGGATTGTGAATCTAATATTCAGTTTTGATGCTACTGGTGAAACAACCACATGCATCTTAGTTAAGCTTTTTATAAATTTATCTCCTCTCTATTAATTTCTTGTACCTAATGTAGCCTTAAGGAATTATACTTTGGCAGGAATAATTCATTCTGTCCGTGTGTAGTTAGCTAGCATTCCTTAGGTGTTTGGGTTAAAAAACCTGAGAAAAATGTTCCTTGTCCTTGACAGAGGTTATAGCCTTGTGTAGAAACAGATATCGACTAATTATAATGCACTATGATCAGTCCTGTACCTAAAGGCAGATACAGAAAGTACTCATAGGAGAAGGAGTCTGCATGCAGAAGAATAAGTAAAAGCTTTCACTGGACAGGTTGTAGGAGGGCGTTCTAGGCAGAGGGCACTCATTGTATGTGCAAAGAGATCAAGGTATATTTTTCCCCACCCCTCCCAATTGTTACTATTACTATTGACTTTTACTAATTTTTAGCTATTTAGCGATTATTGCTGGTTTCTTTTCTTGTGTTTCTGTATTTAGATTTCTGTGTCTGTTGGGATAGATATCCCTTCCACTTTATTGGTTTCTTTAGAGTCCAGCCTTCCTCGCAGGGCTTGATTTCCAGCACCACTCAGAGGAGAAAATTAGTAATGTTGACAACCCAAAGACAAATGAGGTACTGAAACTCAGTAAAAATCAATTAAAAGCAAAATTGATACCACTCTTAACAATGCACAGCAATAATAATTTAGACTCAAAGGCAAACCAGGTATTCACATACAGTAACAATTTACTAAAGGCAGTGACTATACCACCATTAACAATGGAAATGGAAAAAGAATAAAAAATTTTTTTTGTTTTATTTTGAGACAGGGTCTTGCTAGATAGTTCAGTCTGGCTATGAACTCACTATATAGCCCAGGAAGGCCTCAAACTCATGGCAATCTTGCTGCCTCAGCCTCCTGAGTGCTGGGATTATAGGTATGTGCCACCACATGGAAAAAAATCATTAACAATGGAAATGGAAAAAGAATAAAAAATTTTTTTTGTTTTATTTTGAGACAGGGTCTTGCTAGATAGTTCAGTCTGGCTATGAACTCACTATATAGCCCAGGAAGGCCTCAAACTCATGGCAATCTTGCTGCCTCAGCCTCCTGAGTGCTGGGATTATAGGTATGTGCCACCACACATGGAAAAAAAAAAAGTAAAGTAAAATCTGAGAACAAAAGAAAAGGAAGATGAAGAGGAGAGAAGTGAGCTTAAAAATCCAGTTAAAGAATAAAAAGTAATAGAATCAGGTAAAAGAAACACACAAACACATGAGAGAAAAAGAGGAAAAAAGAAAGCAGAGACCAAAAAGAAAGAAAAAAGAAAACGCGGACAAATGAGAAAGAGAAATGAGTCCAGAAGAATCCTCCAGGTTGAGATGTTTGGTAGGTAGTTTCTTTCCAGGGCTGGTGAGATATTAGAATATATTGGATTCCACCAGATATAGGGGAGAGATAATGAGTCACAGCTGAGGCCTGTTAGTTTCTACAGCCAGTTTTTGCTATCTAAATGCTGGATCCTGTCCTGCCTTTCCCACAGGAAAGGGTGGAGCCTGTCACTGGTATGTTCTCTGCCTCAGGGCTGTATTCAGTTTAGGGGCTTTTTCAATTTCTTTATTGCCCTTCTATGTATCGTGAGCCACTGCTCTTCCCAAGTGGCTCTGTGGACCGTGGGCTTGTGAGGCACTGCATTTGCTCCACAGGCCCCTCTGTCCATGTACCCCAGGCTGTGGCAGATGCCCAAGTGTTACACTTGGTAGCTGGGGAAAGCAAATAGATCATGAGTTCTGTGATGGAAGTAGATAGCAAGGGGAGCCAAAAGTTCACGGGACTTAATGCCAGCACTTTCACACTCAGCCTACCCAGAGAACCACATGTGCCTGGCTTTTCACCACGGTGGGTGGTGCTGTTGTTGACCATTGTGTCCTCTGCTACCTGAGCTCTCTGCTGGTAAACCTTCTAGGGGGTTTGTGAATAGCTTCCCCCTCTTTGGGATTGTTTCATAGCTGTGGTAGGGTGACCCCAGAGACCATGAAGTGTGGACATTCTGTGAATTCTGCTTCCAAGAGTAGTTCAGCCTTGAACAGTAAACCCTTTCTCAAAATGGCTTCCAATTATGTCACTCCTAAATATGGCAGATGTTGCAGTGGATTTCTTCTCCAAAGCTAGCCTGCCAAGGAAAGAGAGTAAAACCCTACACTGTATTTATAGGTTACAACAACCAGGGGCTTTTTCTAGGGCTTCTGGCCTTGTCTGGGGTTATATTACCAAAAAGTGCACTGAGAACAGAATTTAGTTTCTCTCATGCATGCTGTTATTCTTGCTTTGATTAATTGCATAAGGGAAACAATTTTATATGTTCTTATAGCCAGCAAGGCAAAATAGAACTTTGTTTTTTAAAAGAGTTGTTATTTTTATTAGTATATGTTTACAGTATGTAATGATTGCATTCATTGTGGGGAGCTGATATATAGATATATATATATGTATCACATCTTAATAGAACTTTAAAAGTCAGAACGTTTTCTTTTCTTAGTACATGTTTGAGATATGTCCTTGCTTTTAATCACTTATGTGTATGTTGTTCTGTTGCCTATGGTTATAGTTTCTGTGCATGTTCATAAGAAATCTAAATATTTTAATACATGTGGAAGGCTTTGTACAGCATTTATCCCCTCAGTGAAACAATACATATGTATGAGTTACTTCAGGCATTGAAGTTGAGTTGGAGCCTCCATTTACATAGTGTTCAGATAATGTGGAATTTTTGCCCCATTTTGCTTCTTGAGATGTATTTTAGTTTTTTTCTTTGGTGCTGGGCATTATGATCTATCACTGAGCTACAACCCAGCCCCTAGATTTGTTTCTTAAAGAATACCTCAGAACTAATGCTACTTTATTCCAACAGCATCAGTACAATAATGACTATTCTGGCTTTGTGCCATATTTTAGAAACTTTTGTTTGATGGCATATTCTAACTTCTAGAAGGTTATATTTTATTGACTAAGGCACTCTACTTATAAAAACTTCACAATACAGTATGTAGGCATGCATATAGACACACACATATAAATTTAGTTTGCTGAAAATAATGGAAGCAGAGTTAGTGTTACTTAATGGAAAGGAATAGAATTTGTAAACAAAACAAGTAGTCTGATTTACCTAATTTGCATTGAGTTTTTAGATGTATTTAAATTGTCAGAGTATTATGTAGTTATTATAAAAGAGGAATAAACTTATTACTGAAAATTATCAGAATAAGAGTAAGTTTTTAATGTATAAAATTGAAAATCATTGTACATTTTGAACTAATAGTTTGAATAGGTGAGCTTTTCCTATTGGTGG